CTTCTGTGCATGCATGAGAGTTCAGTCAGATTTGTACTCATTGTACTGGTAGGTAACTTCTTTTCTGCATTAAAATGCATGTCTGTTTGCACTTTGGGAATTATTTTTAGCTAAAGTTCAACTTTAAGCCTTAAGTCAGGGGTGTCAAACTGGCGGCCCTCCAGCTGTTGCAAACCTAAAAGTCCCATCATGCCTCTACCTTTGGTAGTCATGCTTGTAACTGTCAATCTTGCAATGCCTCATGGGACTTGTAGTTTGGGAACAGCTGGATGGCCACCAGATTGACACCTGTGCCTTAAGTTATTAGTAAAATAAGTAATATTTGAATGCAGAGGCAATTATTTAAAGTGTTACTAAACCCAGGACCCTGTATCCACTATCTCTGGTCTCCCACAGTACACAGAACATTGAAGTGCAATTATTTTAGTAAATATAAACTGCTAAATACCTTTTCTCATCAGCAGTTAGAGCAGTCTTGTGACTTCATTCAGTGTCCACCCAAGCACTGGTTAAAGCTTGTAGAAGCAGTTTTCGTTCTGATCTAGGAAGATGCAAAACCCCTGACCTCTGTCTGGACAGTGCTGATTGCCCTGTGCTGATCACATGCACTCTTCAAAGAAAAAAACAAATATCTCTAGCAATGCACACCAGACTGAGCATATGCAAATGCCTATGGTTCAGTCTGTCTTATCAGGAGATAAGAGGTGGTTGCTTGAAAAAGGGGAGGAACAGAAGAAGAAGCCTTTTTACACAGTGCAGAGGATTGACTCTTTAGGTTCCACAGTGAGTCTAACAAACATGCTTTACTGCATATACAGACTGAGTTTACTGTTGTGGGTTTAGTAACACGTTAATATGATAAATAGTAGATACATTTATATAGTCTTAAAGGGCAACCATAATGCTGATGCGGCGGTGATGAAATTGAGTTTGCACCCCTGCTGTAGATGCTACTAGACATACTTCATACTTGAAACACTCTTTATTTGAGCAACTGGGGAAAACATATAATTGAATACATAAATATCTAAAAATATCTCCGTTCATATCAAACCTTGTTTATGGAACTAGTCAATCTCCCTGTTACAAAATGAATGGAAGGATTTGCTTAGCTGTTGTAACACCTCCACTTTCTCTCTGTTTATTACAATGTACACTGAGGCTGTCTACATGATACACGTTACGTTATAGTATAAATTTGATTTTATATTTTTTGTAAAAACACATTTCAACATGCAATATATATATATATATATATATATATATATATATATATATATATATGTTTATTGAACTATATTGAATATGGCCTAGTATTTCATATATATGTCAATATATTTTTGGGAAGAATATTTTTAAAATATGTTTCAAATATATTTTTCTTCCATATGGGTAGTCACCCTGTGCAGTGCAAATTCCTCCTGCTACTGACACCATCCACTGCTCTACTGACACTGCCCTCTATCCTACTGACACGTCCAATGCTTTAATGACTGACACCATCCACTGTCCTACTGACACCAACCTCTGCTCTACTGATACCATCCACTGCCAAACTGACACCATCCACTGCCAAACTGACACCATTCTCTGCCCTACTGACATGTCCACTGCTCTACTGACAGCATCTACTGCTTTACTGACACCATTCTCTGCCCTACTGACACATCCACTGCTCTACTGACTGACACCATCCACTGTGCTACTGACACCAACCTCTTCTCCACTGACACTATCCACTGCCCTACTGACATCATCCATGTTTTAATGCTTTTTAAAATGCTTGTTTACATTTATTTAAAAGAGTGTGTGTGTATATATATATATATTTAATGTGTGTTTGAGCTTTGGAGTGCACACTCTAATGCAATACTCTGCGCACACCTATGATGATTATAAGTTACATTTTAACACATATATTTTCTCAATCAGTTTTAATCTATATTAAAGTATCTGATGAGTGTGTCAGATTAACTGTAGAGTTTAAAAAAATGTACCTAGGATTACCTGTTTTCTGATACAGCAATTTCTGTGTGGCCAGCACAGGGAAATTCCCACGTCACAAAACACCCAATTTATTGCTTGTTTCCCTGCAGCAATAGAAGCTGCTGCTGGATTAAAGATACCAACCTACACAACCCCAGCAATGTTAATAGCCTGAACTTTGTCCTAGTTCCTAGGTACTTGCACACTATAAATGTGTGAGCTGCAAATGGAAACTTTCAGAACTGTAAAACATCATTGGAATCGTATTGTAATTTTATGAAGAGAATTCAGGTGCTAGATGGTATAGGTAATTACAGGTTACAATCTGAATTTTACAGTTTTGCATCACACAACAAGATCGTGTGTTCTCCTGTAAAGGGGCTTTCCACTTTTACCTAGAGCCTGGGAACCCCCATTCTTCCCAAAATACCAGCACTGATAGGGGACTCCCATGCTCCACCTTCCTCTTTAATGAACGCTTTTAACATTCTCCTTTTTCTCACGAGAAAACAATTCAGCTGTCAAAACTAAACCTGCAATACTGACTCTACCAGTAGACATTGAATCCTGATGTAACACAGAAAACATGCTGACTATTTAAAGATATATTGCATAAGCCAATTACTGCAAGAAATAGAAATGGTTGGGAAACCTAGCTCATTATAGGAAAGCACAACTAGCAAAGTGTTCATTGTTTTTTTGACCTTTATTACTCATGGCAGTGCCTAATTTCATTCTTGTGAAGTTTCCCACTGCAGTTACTGTATGAGATTTCTCCTGACACAGAGATCGCTGAACAGCTTTGGTCATGAGAGTATTAAATATGAACCCTTCCTTCCCCTACTTCCTTAAACAGTGCAGAAATGAAAGTCATAGTTTATGTTTAAATAACGATTTACATACTGATATATCTGCAGGAGTAGGAAGTCTTAGGACAGGCTGAGCGGGAGACAATTATTGGCACAAGTCAGGTAAGGGCTTAAAGAGTAACTCCGCTTTTGTGGAGAAAAAAATACCCTCTGGATGATGAATGTACAGCGCACAGATTTTACCACAAATTGTTGCACAATTCTGCCAGTTTCTGTACTGAAGGAATAGCTATTTGATTATATCAATGTGCACATGGTAGAACAATGGGAATAACTTTTTCATTATTAATCAGCTGATGCACTTTCAGTGTTCTAACGAGAAATGTTGGCGTGTCTGCATCCCTTTTACAAGTGATTTACCCCTAATCTCACCAAAGGAAATTTTTGTTGCATGGGATGCCTAAAATCTGATTTCTATCTAGGTGCAGATTTCAGGGAAAATCAGTAAACAATTTACACAAGCAGGAAATTACATTTCTGGGGAAGTTCTGTACAGGTTACCCTATTGCATTGAGTTTTACAGAAAATTACTGTGCTGCTGAGCGAGAAGGAAAGGCAATTTAAATGGTATTAAATCACTGTATGGCTTATACAATCACTTATATACATGCTATATAATTTTTTTCTATTTGCTACTTTTTTTTACTCTTTAACCATTTGCTGACCACCCCATAGCAGATATACTGCTACAGGGCAGCTGCGCTGTATAGAATCACGCATATGACTGTGATTCTGCACTTTCTGGTTGTGGGTGTGCATGCAAACCGACGTTGCGCTGCTTCTGCTTTGATTGGTTATAGCAGAAGCTGAATAGGATGAGCGTCGGCCCCCGACAATCATCTAGGACAGGGGTCTCTCCCGGCCCCCGACAATCATCTAGGACAGGGGGTCTCCAAACTTTGCAAACAAAGGCCCAGTGTACTGCCCTTTAAATATTAGGGTGGCCGGACTGTGGCTAGAGGAAGTAGAAAATGCCCTGGCATCAGTGGGAGTAAACAATGCCATTGGCTTGGTGGTCAGTGGTAGTAAAAAAAAATGAAATTATTGGTGTCAGTGGAAGAATAAGTTCACCTTCTCTAGTGTCAATAGGAGGATTAATGCCCCATTGATGGTGTTAGTGGGAGGAATAGTGCCAGTTGTCCTTGGTAACAGTGGAACTGTCTCTGGTGTCAGTGGGAGGACAGTACTCCATTGATGGTGTTAGTGGGAGGAATAGTGCCCTCTCTTTGGTGTCAGTGAAAGAAATAGTGCCTAATGTCAGTGGAAGGACTAGTTCCCCAAGGGCCGGATATAGGCAAGCAAAGGGTCACATCTGGTCTGCGGGCCACAGTTTGGAGATCCCTGGTCTAGGAAAATGACAGAACACAGCTCTGCCTATGCAAACAAGGCAGTGCTGTGTCCTGTCAGCAGCAATGTGCTGGATTCTCTTTCCCTGCAAGGCAGGGAAAGAGAATCCAGCACATTACCTTGTGAAAACATCTCACAGTAACATACAGTAGCTAGGCACACAGTTAACCCCTTGATCACTTTAGATGTTTAACCCTTTCCCAGTCAGTGTCATTAGTACAGTGTCAGTGCATATTTTTTATCACTGATCACTGTATTAGTGTCACTGGTTACCACAAAGTGTCAGTTAGTGTCCGGTTGTCCACCTCAATATTGCAGTCCCACTATAAGTCGCTGATCGCTGCCATTACTAGTATAAAAAAAAAGAACAATTCCAGTATATATACCATAGTTTTATAGCTTTTGTGCAAACCAATCAATATATGGTTATTGGGATATTTTTTAACAAAAATATGTAGCAGAATACATATTGGCCTAGATTGTTGAATCAATTTTATTTTTCATTTTTTGCTGGATATGTTTTATAGCTGAAAGTAAAAAATATTGGGGGGGGGGGTTTTCAACATTTTTGGTCTTTTTTTTGTTTATAGCGCAAAGAATAAAAAACCCAGTGGTGATCAAAAGAAAGTTCTATTTGTGGGGGAAAATGACATAAATTTCATTTATGTACAGCATTGCATCGCAAAAAATTGCCTGTCAGGTTGGGTGGTAAAACTTCAAGTAATTAAAGGAGCATTAATTTTTGCAATATAAAAAACAGCACACCTTGTATCTGCATGGCTTAATATATACATATATATATATATATATATATATATATATATATATATATATATATATATACTGTATATCTATATATGTTTGTTTGTTTTTTTTTATTCATGTATATACACATCTATACCTCCAATCATACATGACATATTGATTAAATCATATATTTCAAAAATTATTCATAAGATCAATTACAACCGTATACAGAATACAGTATATCTTTTTATAATGTCCCAACATTCTGCTCCCCTTTGATTCTGGAAAAAAGGGGGCTAAGCTACCAGCTAAGCAACCACAGAAATAAGTACAGTATATATCTCCATTTCACACTTAGAAATAACAAAAACTATTAAATTATAAGAGTATAAAAATAATAACTTACACATAAACTGCTACATTTCACATAAAAATTGCCAGTGGAATCTAGTACCATGTTTAGGACTGGGTGTTAATGTGAACACAGAGTGCTGAGCTAACCCTCAGAGTAAAGCACGGAATTAAACCAGAACAGTGACAAGCTGCAGGACAATCATGAAAAGAGGATTCTGAATGTCTGCTGTGTATATGTTGTTTTAAATTATGTTTAACAACAGCGAAAAATAGTATTCACTTTAATTAATGAAAAAATGACAGCAAGATTAACAGATACAATGCCTAAATTTCTCAGGGTCTGGGAACAATGGGTTGCCCATTTTATACCTTCAGATTTTGACCATAGGCTGCTGCCCTGTGAAGCTCGACTTGGGAATCCAACATGAGACCTGTGGTGCTCATCCCTCATCCCTCTTCCCCTTCCCTTTTTTTTCTAGCCTCCTTTCCCTTTTCCCTTCCCCCTTTTTTTTTTTTTTTTTTTTTTTTTTTTTCTCCTTTTTCATTTAGTTTTTATGTGCCATGCTATGAATGATAGGTGGCCTTCCGGAACATAAAATATATTCCTGCTATTTTACATGTGACGTTGGCCATAATTGCTTTTTTTTGTAATGTAACTGTTTTGAATTTGATGTATTAATGGCAGACCATGTATGTCTCTGTAGCCCCTATAAAACAATTTGCTGAACGAAAACCTGCCAGACTAGGAAATTCCTAGTATACAAAAGCACTGATCCCTGTCTTCAAAAAAAGAGAGGCAATTAAGAGGGTGAATAGGATTCCAATTGCTTGTGGAGGTATTCTTCTGTGTCTGGTGAAAAGAAAGAACTTAATCATAGAGAGGAATAATAGACACTATTGAAGCTTTTCAGTGTGCTGAAGAAGACTGATGCTTATGTTGCAATTTGGACTTTGGTTTATATCTGTTATAATGTATTATTTTTTGTTACAGTGTAAGTTCAGACAAAATCTAACTAAAGCTAAACTTACACGCACCCCTTTTCTAAGCCTATTCTATCTACTGAAACCTCTTTGGTCTGATCACATGAGCTCTCCAGTACAGCTTCAATGAAGAGGAGAGATTGCTGACCATCTCCGCAAATGCTTGTATGGTGACGTCACCTGTCGGCTTATTTTGGGGCATCCGTTGTCCACTGTCCCTCCTCTACACTGAAGCTCGCATTGGGACTTGATTGTGCGACCAGACTGGAGCAGCTTCAGAATAGGTAATTATATAGATCTTTTCTTTTACAGGGTAGATACAGTAGAATAGGCTTAGAATGAGGGTGGAGTAGGTTTAACCTTAGTTAGATTTTGACTGAACTTCCAACTAGTTTAGATACTTCATAAGTGCTTCATCAGTGATATATATTTTTTATATGTTTTCATTAATTTAAAGCAGAACTTTACCCAAAAGGGGAAATTACACTTTTCTACCTCCTCCCCTCTCCTCTAACACTTTTGGCCCCTTTTTTGTTTTTGGGAGGAAGTGGGTACCTGTTTTTGACAGATACCCACTCCCACTTTTGGTAGAGTACCAAAGGGTTAGACCCTCTGTAAACTTTTATTGCCGTCTGTAAAGCTTGATTGCTATTTCTCGTTGGGGAGATTCACCCCTCTAGTTACCCTGCTAGCTACTGTCACTGAGAAAAAAAGGGAGAAAGCATGTCTCCACTCTAGCTCTATAGGATATGGCTTCCACTCAGGAATTCTCCACCTTAGCATATGGCTTTTGATGTGATTTTTATGGCATAGCCAGGAAATGCCAGGCAAGGGAAGAGTGAAAGAATTGGGAGAAAGAATGCATTCACAGTTCTGTAAATATGATAATGACATTACTGTTGCAAAGAACACAGGGGGAGATTTACTATAGCTGGTTCACTCAGAAACTGGTACACCTGTGCGTGGTAGCCAATCGGCTTCTAACCGCAGCTTGTTCAATTACTCTTTGGAAATAAAATTTGGAAGCTGATTTGTTTCTATGCAGAGCTGCACCAGATTTTGCATGTTCCAGTTTTAGTAACTCTTCCCCAAAAGGATTTAATAATAGTCTGTTCTCCACATAAACCCTAAGTGGCAACAAATAAACCCCACAGTATTGCTACTCACTGCACCACCAGTGATGTGGACACTGGAGCTCTCTTTGAAACAAGATAACACTCTCTAAATGGCAAATTCTCTTTTCAAGGAGGTACTCTTTCTCAAAATGCAGTTTACCACAAAGTGGTCTGTTGATGGCAGTCTCTGGGAGACAGTGTAGGAAATGATATGGAATGCAGCTTACTGCCTCTACAATGACACAGATTGGAGGCACTGGTAAAAAAAATTGTCCTGTGCACATGTAATAACATATCTTCTAGGGATATGGAGGAAGGAAACCCTTGCATATAAGCCTGTTATACTAGTGGGTTGTTGTAATTATATTACATATGTTTAAAGTGATTTTGTAATCTTTTTTCCAAATCTAACAGGGTACAAACAACTGTACAGTACAGATACACTATATTGCCAAAAGTATTGGGGCACCCCTCCAAATCATTGGATTCAGGTGTTCCAATCACCTCCGTGGCCACAGGTGTATAACATCAAACACCTAGGCATGCAGACTGCTCTCTTAGTTCCACACAGTTGTAAAATAATGGGTTGCTCTCAGGAGCTCAGTGAATTCAAGCGTGGTACCGTGATAGGTTGCCACTTGTGCAATAAATCCATCTGTGAAATTTCCTTGCGACTAAATATTCCACGGTCAACTGTTAGTGGTATTTTAACAAACAGAAGCAACTGGGAACAACAGCAACTCAGCCACGAAGTGGTAGGCCACATAAAATGACAGAGCGGAGTCAGCGCATGCTGAAGCGCACAGTGCGCAGAAGTCGCAAACTGTCTGCAGAGTCAATAGTCAAAGACCTCCAAACTTCATGTGGCATTCAGATTAGCACAACAGCAGTGTGTAGAGAGCTTCATGGAATGGGTTTCCATGGCCGAGCAGCTGCATCCAAGCCTTACATCGTCTAGTGCAATACAAAGTGTCGGATGCAGTGGTGTAAAGCATGCCACCACTGAACTCTAGAGCAGTGGAGACGTGTTCTCTGGAGTGATGAATCACACTTCTCTGTCTGGCAATCCAATGAACGTGTTTGGGTTTGGCGGTTGCCAGGATAACGGTACTTGCCTGACTGCATTGTGCCAAATGTAAAGTTGAGTGGAGTTTATGGTGTGAGGTTGTTTTTCACGGGTTGGGCTTGGCCCCTTAGTTCCAGTGAAGGGAACTCTTAATGTGTCAGCATACCAAGACATTTTGAACAACTTTGTAGGAACGGTTTGGGGATGACCCCTTCCTGTTCCAATATGACTGCGCATCAGTGCACAAAGCAAGGTCAATTAAGACATGGATGAGCAAGTTTGGGGTGCAGGAACTTGACTGGCCTGCACAGAGTCCTGACCTCAACCCGATAGAACACCTTTAGGATGAATTAGAGCAGAGACTGCGAGCCAGGCCTTCTCATCCAACATCAGTGCCTGACCTCGCAAATGCTCTTCTGGAAGAATGGTCAAACATTCCCATAGACACACTCCTAAACCTTGTGGCCAGCCTTCCCAGAAGAGTTGAAGCTGTTATAGCTGCAAAGGGTGGGTCAAATCAATTATGAACCCTACGGACTAAGGCTGGGATACCATTAAAATTCATGTGCGTGTAAAGGCAGGCGTCCTAATATTTTTGGCAATATAGTGTATTTGTTAAAAAGGAAAACCTGCACTACACCCAATAAAAATTACTGACAATGAGTAAATAAATGTGTGCATAAATATAGTGAACTGCTGCTACTCTTTTCTTGAACACCAGAAAAATGCAAAACATATAAAAAGTGAGTGCGCTGTACAATAAACAATCAGATGCAATGATCAAACACAATATATCCACAAAATAATATGACAAAAAGTATATTGCTAAAGTGCTATAAAAAGTCTAAATTTGGACTTTTTATAGCACTTTAGCAGTATACTTTTTGTTATATTATTTTGCGGATGTATTGTGTTTGATCATTGCGACTGATTGTTTAGTGTGCAACGCACTCACTTTTTATATATTTTATATATAAATATAGTGTATGTAGCAAACATCAGTTCACTCCAATGTCTTATCTATCTGATCTAATGCTGCAGAATGTCTTTAGCTGTTACACAATTATTTTCTGTCCAGTGTTGTTCTGGTTTAGTCATGCAAACATGTGCTTTGTATTACATGAAATACATTGCAGGAATACAATGTTACAAAATATATGTAGTGAACCAGCGTGACTCAGATTTACCAAAAGATTAATGTTTTTTACAATCTTCAGAAAATACAAGTACATGTATGTATCATATTTTGTAAATGTGATACTCTTTTTAATTTAATGTCTTCCTTACTCTCTTACTGTTTAACATGTTCTTTGTAGTTTGCCATCAAAAGAGAGAACAAAAACGTTTATTGAAGTCTAAAGTCAAACGTAAGTCAGAAATAGGTGAGCATAATATACAGTTTAAATATATATATATATATATATATATATATATATATATATATATTATACTTCAGTAGATCCTTAACATGTATTTCCACTTTTGCAGCCAAAGTGGGATAACACCTACTCTTTATAGTTGTTACCTGTTCATAGCATAACATAACTTAAAAAAAAAAAATTTCTGGTTACCTTTTGAAGTGCATTTTACTTAAAATATCCATACATGCTCTCCTTGCTTTGGGATGTTTAGGAGGGAGCTGTGGAGTGATGTTTAACATAATTAACCCTATCTACACTTTGTTTGAAGTTCTTCATTATCCGCTGTAAACTAGATTTGAACATGGTCTGTCCTAACAAAGGGTTAACAATTTAGAAACCACTTTCCTTCATTGTATGTTAATGAGGTATAGCTTCCTCTTTGTGGGGAAAGAGACACTGTGAGACTCTCCAGAAATTCTTTTAATCGCCTTAGACACCTTTCTCCTTAGAAACATCAAAAAGGTAAGAAATAAATTTTTCCTTATGCAGACCATAGACGGTTCATTTTTCAGCTGATTTTTCATCCAAAAGAATAATCTGTCGATTTTCGCACAGTTAGTGGGGCAATGTCACGGTTCCTCCTCCTTTAGTTTATTGGTCATGCTGAAAAATTTGTGAAAAACACCTGATTTTCGAAATCATTGGTGGCAACATCGGATTACAGAACAAACGTTGTTTCATTTTTCGGACAAAAATCGTCCGATAAACGAACAGTCTATGGCCTGCATTAGGTATATTGTGTAAATGGAAACGCAATGTATGAACATATAATAGGTTTTTCTCAAATTGGACTTCAAAAGTGGAAATACTCTTTAAGGGATCACATGACAGTTATGAAAAAATAACAAGCTTTAATTTTTTGCACTTCTGCATAGATATTTTAAAGTGTTACTAAACCCAGGACCTTGCATTCACTATATCTGGTCTCCCACAGCACACAGAACATGGAAATGCAATTATTTTTGTAAATATAAACTGGTTTTCTCATCAGCAGTTAGAGCAGTCTTGTGACTTCAGCAATGCACTGGTAAAGCTTGTAGGAGAAGTTTTTTTTCTGCTCTAGGAGGATGCAAAACCCCTGACCTCTGTCTGGACAGTGCTGATTGCCCCTGTGCTGATCACATGCACTCTCTCAAGAAAAAAAAAACCTCTCTAGCAATACATACTAAACTGGGCATGTGCAGAATGGCTACGGGTTCAGTCTGCCTTATCAGGGGATAGGACGTGGACATTTGAACAAGAGGAGGAGCAGAGAAGACAATATCAAAAGGCCTTTTTACACAATGGAGAGGATTAACCCCTTAGGTTCCATAGTGATTATAACAAGCATGCTTTACTGCATATACAGACTGATTTTACTGTTGTCTGTTTAGTAACACTTTAAGGACCAATGTGCGCTGAAAGTGTCCTTTACTGTGGCTTCACAAAATTAAAAGTTCTGCCCTAGAGCATCTTTGTCCAGAAAATCCACTTTAGTGTCCCTCAGACTGCTTTAATATTTACTTTGAAAACACAATCCCCAATTTAAGAACCTAAGAGCTACTTGGTTTCTCAAGACTCTGTCCCCTGCTAGCCCCTTTGCCCAACAAGAGTGCCCTGCTCATCTTTTTAACCAGCTTTTGATTCATCAAAAAATGGGCAGATAGATCAAGGTAAACTTGTCACCTACAGTCTCTGTGTTGAGATTATTAAAAACTCACAATTGTTGGTATGATACAGGATCCATTTGACAACATTTTCAATCTGAAGTTGGATGAATTTATTTACAATTAATATAAAACTGGCTTATGGGTTTCCAGCAATATAAATATCTGTTTGCTATATAAGATTTAAGATTAGTTGCTAATATTTACTTTATGTTTTTACTACTGTATTAGCCATGAATAGGCACTGCTGGAATAAGGAATGTAAGTTGGGCTCTATTTAAACCTTAGGGAGATTTATTTTATAATTAATAGAGATAGTTGTATTGCAACATTATACAAGTACTATAAGTAGTATAGTTACAACCAAAAATAGTAAAAACATTGAATTTTCAATTGCTCCTTTTACTATAAATGTTGGTCAAAAAGGGCACTCTTACTGGATAAGATCTTATGAGTAACAGGGTGATTGGATTGTACTTTATACATCTATGAGGATGTCTGTTGTAGTTACTGCAGGCACCATTGGATGTCATTGTTCACCTTGGTTTTGCAATTATGTGACAGGCACAATCAGCCAGCCCATAGATGGTTTGAATATCGGCCATTCCCTGCTGAACCGACTGAGATTGGAACCATCTATGGCCAGCTTAAAGGAGGGATAAAATCTTTTACTTTCTAAAGTCATTCCAGTGCATAGCTTGTGGGGTGCAGTTTTGGAGGATAGTTAAAAAAAAAAAAGCAATCTTAGAAGCTCTGCTATCCTCAGTTGGATAAATTTCTATCACGGTTTGAACTCGTTTTTACCTCAAGATAGGAACAGTGCTGAACCCATCACATACAGTATTAGTCAGTATAATTTTTTATTTAACCACTTGCCTGCCACCCAATAGTAGAACTACTGCTACAGGGCGGCAGGGCTGCACAAATTCACGTGTATATATATATATATATAGATGTCAATCACCGGGCCCTGGCCAGAGATTCCCCACCGGCACCCGGCAATCACCGAGTGACACTGACAGGGGAGTTTTCTGCATAGCAGAGAAATACAAAGCAGCATGTTTCCCTAGTAAAACACACACAGCACATACTGTAAAATACACACAGCACACAGTTAACCCTTTGATCGCCCCCCAAATGTTAACCCCTTCCTACCCAGTGTCATTAGTACAGTCAGTGCTTTTTATTATCACTGATCACTGTATTAGTGTTACTGGGGTTGTCAGTGGCAGTTAGTCAGTTCTCACCCAGTGTCAGAATTACCATTACTATTTAAAAAATACCCTAAAAATAAAAATTCCAGTATATATCCCGCCATTTGTAGGCACTATAACTTTCACATAAACCAATTAATTTATATGTATTGGGATTTGTTTTTAGCAAAGACATGTAGCACAATACATTTTGGCCAAAATGTATGAAGAATTTGATCTTTAAAATTTTTTTACTGGACATGTTTTATAGCAAAGTCAAAAATTTAGTTTTTTTCTTTTCAAAATTGTCGGTCTATTTTTGTTTCTAAAACAAAAAATAAACACACAGGTGATCAAACACCACTGAAAGAAAGCGCTATTTGTGGGAAAAAAAGGACATGAATTTAATTTATGTACAGTGTTGCATGACCGTGCAATTGTCAGTTAAAATAACGCAGTTC